TATTATGTAAACAATATGCAATTTATTGATGATTTCAATGCTTGGAATATTATAGAAAAGAAGTAAATGAATGAAAGATTTTGAGAGTAAAAAATAACTTTTTATTAATCTTAAAAATAATAATTAATTGGAATGATAAAATTATAGAAAATTAGTGTATTATGAAATAAAATAAATGATAAAAGAATTAATAGTATGAATATTATAAAATAGGAATATTCAAAAACAAAAATTCTAATTGTGTAAAATTAAAAATTAATTGAGTTATTATGTGATAAATTTATATTTATTTTTCTTGTAAATTGTAAGTAAAGTTTTGGATTGAAAATATATTTAGTTTATTGATTGATTTTTTAAAAAGAATGAAGAAGTTAGGTTTGCTTGATTTCTATAATTAAGATTAAAATAACTTGAAATCAAGTATAAATAAAAATGAAATAAAATGATAAGCATCCAATAAAATCAAAAATAGCAGTTGGAAAAGGTAAGCATGCTTTTGAATGTGGAGGTAAGATAATTTTGTAATTGTTTAGGTTAGACCTTTATAGTAGATGAAAAATATGAATTTATTAAGTAAATAGGACAAGGAGCTTATGGAGTAGTATGCTCTGCTAAAAATAAAAAGAATGGATAAATGGTAGCGGTTAAGAAAGTATTTAAATGAATAAGTAAAGATTCCAAATGCATTTGAAGATTTAGTAGATGCTAAAAGAATAGTAAGAGAGATCAAATTGTTAAGTAATTGAAAATAGTTATAGTTAGAGTTTTTTGATCATGAAAACATAATTTCATTAGTTGATTTACCTAGACCAGATTAAAAAACAGGATTTAATGATATTTATATAATAACAGACTTAATGGGAACAGATTTACATAAAGTCATTTATTCATCATAAGCTTTAACAGATGAACATATTTAATATTTTGCATATTAAATGTTAAGAGGGTTGCTTTACATTCATACAGCAAATGTGATACATAGAGATTTAAAGCCTAGTAATATACTTTTGAATAAGGATTGTGACTTAAAAATATGTGATTTAGGATTAGCTAGAGGTTATGAAAGTGAAGAAGAATTTAAAACTGAATATGTTATAACAAGATGGTATAGAGCTCCAGAAGTAATATTGAATGCATCTGAATATACAAAAGCAGTTGATATTTATGCAGCTGGATGCATTATAGGAGAATTATTAGGTCGAACACCATTATTTCCTGGTAATTATTAATCATTTTAAATAAGGTGAGGATTATTTAGATTAAGTATAAAGAATTATTTCAGTATTAGGAACACCTACTCCAGATGATATGAAATATATAGGAAACCCTAATGCTATTAATTATATTAAAAGTTTACCTAAAAGAACTAAATAATCATTTAATTAACTCTATCCTAAAGCTAATCCAAAAGTTTGTGAATTATTAACTAAGATGATTACATTTAATCCAGATAAAAGATACACTGTTGAATAATGTTTAGAACATCATTATTTTGATGGTTTACATAACCCAGAAGCTGAACCAAGATCTGACAAAGCTTTTGATTGGACTTGGGATAACTTTGAATTAAAAAAAGAAACTTTATAAAAAATGGTTTATGAAGAATCTTTATAATTTAATCCTGTCAAATTCTGAAATAACTATTATTCATTTTATTTTCATTTCTACTCAAAATCAAATATTAAGTTATTCCTCTATCTTAAATATTCTTATTCTCTTTTAAGATAATTTCTAAATTAATTTAAATTCAATACTCTCTATATCATTAAATAATTTTATATCTTGAATCCTTTCTAATCCCATCATTTATCTTATTATATTAATATTAATCATCAATCCTTTAACAATCTTGATTAAAAAATTAAATTATTTAAATTAAATATTTAATAATTAAGTCTGAAATTAACTGTACTATTTTATTTATTTCTGTTGAATAAATAAATTTACAATATTAGATATACATGTAAATTAGTTTAGCTTATTAATTCAAAAAAATTTTCATATTATACTTCTTCTATCCTACATATTAGAAATCTTTTTTAATTGTAATGCAGAATAATTTTTATTTCATTTATTAATAAATTTAAATAATAATCTTAATTTATACTATAAATATTCTCGAATTTAAATTATAATATTCTTACTTGTAGTTTTTCACTTTTTTATTTAGTAGTAATATTTTTCATTATTTTTTCTTTAATTTTTATCTTAAATTGTCTCACATTTACTTAATGAAATAATTTTTTATCACTTTTAGGTAGTTCTTTTTTGATACTTGTTTTTCAATTTCTTTTGATAATGGTTCCCTTATTTCTTAACTTATTATTTTGAAAAGAGAGCTTTTAAGACTTTCAATTTAAGCTAAAAACACAGAATTCAAGGATTAACAATCAAACTCTAACATAAATTTAATTTTTATTCTTATCTAATTAAATAGAATATACGAAATTTCATATTAGTATATATTATTTACTTAACAGGAATCATTTTTTATTAATTTAAATTAGGTT